TCCCTACTCCTCCAGCTCTAAGGATCTTGGGCACACACACCCAGCATGTTTGAGCAGACCCAGGGATCCAAACCCTTGGTAGGTCCTGTGATCTCCAGCACCGCAGTTTGGTTGGCTACCCACTGTGCCTCCAGGCTGAGCCTGTATTTTCATTTCTTTTTTTCTTTTGAAATGCATAGTGTGCTCCTGTGCAGGATTGAGAGAGTACACAATTCTGTATCTTCTTTTCCCCGTGAGCTTCATAGCTTGGTATTGGTTAACATCTGACCAGTTCTGAGTCTCCCTCCATAAGAGCCTCTTCGCCTTCAGGTTTTTACTCAAATGCTATCTTCCCATTAGTTCTTCCCTAACAATCAATTAATTTTTTTTTTTTGAGAGATTTTTGCTATAGGGTGCATGTGCTCACTGGAGAGACAGAGCAACATAAACGAGAAATCATCCCCTGGGGGGATGGCCACACCACAATCCCTTCTCTTCCATTCTCCTCTTGGGATTTTGGACGCATATGCACACATGCCTGGGGTGAATTTTAATCTGCTGGGTCTGGGACTTGAACCATGGTCAACTATGTGGAAGTCCAGTGAAGTAACCATTACACCATCTGCTGGTCCCATCAATTAGGTTTTGTTTATTTATTTATTTTAATCAGAGGGTGTGTACTTGCCACAGACAGACAGAAAGAGAGAGAAGGCACCCCACAATGGGGCATGGTCATGCCACAGTTCCTTCTATTTCTTCATCTCACTGGGACTTTGGGCATGCACATACCAGTGCCCAGCATGTTTTTTTTTTTTCTTTTTTCTTTTTTTCTTTTGGAGAGGTTTTTGCTATAGGGCACGTGCGCTCGCCAGAAAAACAGAGAGAGGCAGAGAAACAGAGAGTGAGAAATCACCCCAGGGGGAATGGCCACTCCACAATCCCTTCTCCTCCATTCTTCTTTTGGGATCTTGAGCACGCACGCACATGCACCCGTTATGAGTTTAAGGGAAAGTGAGAAAGCAAGCTACCAGGTCCAGGACTTGAACCGTGGTCAGCCATGTGGGAGTGCCCAGCACCTTAACTACCACGCCACCTGCTGGTCCCTGCCCTCTAATAATTTTCAAAAATCACTAAATACTTGAAGAATTATCTGGTGGCAAAAAAAGTAGGATACTTTTCAAAATAAATGTCATGGAGCGAGTGGGAGGTAACCTTGTGCCAAGCCCTGTGCTGGCAGTGACAATGGAGACATGGTGAAAATGGCCCCCACTGTGTTGAATTCCAGAGACCACCAAGGAACAGTTCCTCGAGGGCAGGAACTGTGCCTTCTCCTTTTGGAGTCAGTGCAATGTCTGGCCTGTTTAAGCTATCCACTGGCCCTCCCTCCTGTACTCCCCACCCCCTACAAAACCCGAAAACCAAAGGAAAAACAAACAAACCCTGACTGACCTGAATAATTCTCTCATTTCTGCTCACCTGTTAAAGGCTGTTTTTGTTAGTGAATTGGGTGGGGGACTTGGTTTCATGTTTCCGGGAGTGCCTGTTGGTATTTGTCTGAGTCAGCCTCTTAACTGCAAGAAGCTGGCCATTGTGATTCCCAGCATTCCTCTGAGTTCCTCAGTGATCCCTACCTCAGTATGAGAGTGTCTCCTAAGGTTCCAGGTTTCATGAGAAGGGGGAAAGAAGAGGGGTCTAAAATCTGGAGCCAGAACCCTCAGGGTTCAAATCCTGGCCCAGGGTTGGCCCTATAGCCTAGTGGTTAGGGGATCTGGATCCCACATGGCTGACTGCAGTTCACAGCCAGCCCCAGAAGCTTGAAAAACATACCAGGTACATTGGTGTGCACACCTCAAATCCCGACAGGATGAGAAGTGGAAGAGAAGGGGTTATGACATGACCACATGCCGCTAGGAGGTGCTTTCTCCCTCTCTCTGTCTCTTGCAAGCATATGTGTCCTCTGACAATTAAAAAAAAGGTCCTGGCCCAACAACTAGTAGTCGTGAGTTCTTGGGCAGCTAAGAGTAAAACTCCCTTTATCTGGGCTCCTGCCTGCCCTTCTGTACCCCATCCTCATAACCAACTACCCCGATAAAGAGAAGGAAGGGCAAAGTCTAGACCCAGGACCAGGGTTGGGAGAAGGGGAGCTCCCTGAGGTGTTTTGGGCCTGAGGCCAGAATACTTCCTTCATCCTCCCAGCTAGGCAGGGCTTTTTGTTTTTTTTTTAAGAGATTTTTGCTATAGGGCAGGGTTTTTTTTTTTTAAAGAGATTTTTGCTATAGGGTGTGTAAGCTTGCTGGAGAAACAGAGAGACAGAAAGCAAGGAATCACTGCCCAGGGGTATGGCCACACCACAATCCCTTCTCCATTCTTCTCTCAGGACCTTGGGCAGGCACACACTCGTTGGGTGTGAGTTTTAAGCTGCTGGGTCTGGAACTCGAACCACGGTCGACTACATGGCAGTCCAGCAACATAACCATTATGCTATCTGCTGGTCCCTCCGGCTGGATTCTTTATAGAAAAACTTGAGATCCATGGCTGTAGAGTGTTTCTAACGATCTCTTGTGGTTGCAGCTCCAAACACCTTTTCTCTCTAACCTAAACTTCCTAGACTTTCTGAGCTTAGACATAAATTAGAGCATCACTTGGGTATCTTTAATCTCATCTGGCACTCAAATATCCACAGCATGTGTAACAGGGGAGCTCTTAATAAACTTCGGTAAACAGAAAAGTAGAGAATATTTCTACACATTGGACACCCGCCTTGGGGTTTACACTGCCACGCATTTCTGTATTGACTGGACCACCAAGACAAGGTCCTTTAAGATCTAAAGAAACAACATTCTTTTTTTTTTTTTTTTTTTTGAGAAGTGTTTGCTATAGGGCGCGTGCACTCGCCAGAAAGACAGAGAGAGACAGAAAGCAAGAAATCACCCCCAAGGGGCGATGGCCACGCCACAATCCTTTCTCCTCCATTCTCCTCTCAGGATCTTGGGCACACACGCATACACACCCGGCATGAGTCTAAACCACCACATCCAGGACTCGAACCGTGGTCAACTACATGAGAGTTCAGCGATATAGTTATTATGCTAACTGCTCATCCGAAGAAACAACATTCTTTTGACTCCAAAGAAACAGAGATGTGAGAAAGGTTGAAGCAACCTGAACTTGAAGATGATTAGGTCAGAAGATAATAGCAACAGAAACCAGGGCTTTGGCCTCCAAGCAGGAACAAAACATTGCAGAGTTTGGCTGGTCGCCTGCTCAGTAGAAATGTAATTCCAAGTCCCTAAACTGGTGCTGGCCAAATGGAAGGTTCCACTGTGGCTCGGGAGAGAGTTAAGAGACAAATCAACTAATGCAATACATTAACCGTTTTTGGATCTGGATTCAAATCAATCAACTTAAAAACAAAGCAAACACACAAAC